GCCACCAAACGGTGAACACGGATGGTGCAGTCATGAAACGGCTGAAAATAGCAGTATCCATCTCTCCTTCGGTGTCCCTTGGAGATTCGTCCATCTTTCCTCTTGATGCGACCCAGGGAGCTCACAAATCTGCCTGGCACAGATTTTCCTGATCTGGGGTGTATCATTGGTTTCCACTTCTCCCCTTCCACCATCTGATTCTCAGGCTTCCTGTACTTGAACTCCAAGCACCCAAGCTGAGCCTCCCTTTGACAGCGGGCCTTCATTGTCGAGTAATTAATGCCCAGCTTTTCTGATGCCTCCTTGGCAGAAGAAAAACGTCTGCACTGCTGAGACGTTGAATTTCTAACAATCACCAGCTTCGAACTGGAAGGTCCGGAAGTGCCCCTTGAGGGATTGTCATAGGAGATGCGCACATTTTGAGAAGGCGTGACCCACTCCAAGTTGTCTTTGTGATTGTTGCTGCGGTTCCCATCCTTATGATTCACCTCTGCTGTATTGCTTGGAGGAGGTCCGTGGAATTCAAATGCAAGAAGGCGGTGGGCGTAGAATGTCTTCCCACTAACGCAAACCTTGCGATAGCCACACTTTTGCAAACTCCCATAGCTCTTCCTGCCTCGAGTATCACTGAACCTACCATGCGAACTCACTTGCCAAACCTTTCTGGTGGGTGAAAGCTTGTCAGTCGGTTCCAAGCTGGAGATCACCTGCAATTGTACGCTGAGATGACAAGTCAAGAGCCAGGCGAGCACTGCGATCCTCCACCTCCGGCCAGTACTTCCACACCACGCCATGAGAGGATTGGGAAGAACACGGAAAGACCTTGGGTATATCCCGTTGCCAGTAACAGTAGATGATGGTGGCCTTTCTCTAAAATAGTGATTATTGTTTCCCGACTAGACCCTCAGAAAGACTTTGTAAGAAGAACTACTTTGCTGATGCAATGCATGCCACCAGGATGACGAAGCAAGTCACTTGTAATGATCTCTGTAAAATTAAAGTTTTCGGTCATATGCAGTGATGGTTTGGGTGTTGCCTTCTCCCTCCAAGCTCTGCTTTCCACTCAACTTCCAGCTTTTCTTGCTGCCCTCTTGAGTCCTTGCTTTTGAGCTTCACACCTGACCGGAATTGTAAATATCTGGAAGAGTGGTATCCTAAATGATCTTTATTGTTCCATGTGCGTGTTCCAGCACTTGGACCAGTCCAGGCAAAGTCCACCGGGACCGAAGCCCCATAGGTTGGTGATCTTTCATTTAGCCATCTGCGCATGGCCCGGAGAGACCATCTCTATAGAAATGTTTCTATCGACACCCGTTAGAAAGCAAAAAGACATCCTTTGGGTGGTGCTGGTACAGAAACAAACATATAATGAAAAATGTGCTCTCTTTCTAATTCTATACCTATTAAATTCGCCATCATTCACCCCCCATCCATACACGCCAGTTGAGTCTTGCATCCGACCCGGGCCTCAAGATGGCGTTCTTCCCGTCGTCCCAGAGCGGATCGTGCTTCTATGAGGTCTCGGTCTCGGTCCCAGAGCTGATGATCTGGCGACCATCAACTCAACCCGAAGAGTTCTATTTGGAGACATGTGTTTATATAGATTAAACATATGCTTATAAGTTATTGTACATGCATCTAGAAATTGAAAGAAAAAGGTTGGTTATCGAAACAAATTCATCACATGATTTTTGAATAGAACATTCGGTCAAACAGTGCATCTTTGGGGACAAAGAAGTTCAATAACATTGCTTTCCCAGTTCTAAAAAGTGGGACAGTTGGGATCAAAGCCAGTCAAGATTGGCACCGGTACAGTATCCTTTAAGAACGGACAATCTTGGCACTCCAAACCACAGACACTTGAGCTTGCTTATATGTACATATATATATATATGATGGTTGTGAGGAGGGTGGGAAAGTCATTATTGTCCTTGGTGTCCTCTGCCTGTGAGTCCAACTGCTACCAGTAGCGAGGATGAAGTAGAATCTAGAACTACTAAGCACCTCTAAAATGATATAGATGCACTTTGGGTACGTGGCAAATGGTTCTCAATGCCAAAATACGTATTAAACCATTTCTTGATTTCTTGATTTTCATGAAGGTGATCAACTATAATTACTGCATCGGGAGCTCTCGTCAGCCGAGCTGCCCCGCAGTGGAGAAGCGGTCCGAGAGCTGCGCAAAGGATCAACGGCGGCCGCTCGAGGATCAACGGCGGCCGTCAGCCACCAGCAGTTGAAGATGTGGTGGTAGAAGCCTGGTGAGATTTTGTGGAATGTGAAACGCACACCGAACTGTTTGCCAAGAGGGTAATTATCGGCCAAGGGAACCCCAAACCATGAAGAGCTAGCGGTCCTAAGAGCCAAGTGGTTGGAGAATGAAAACCAGTTGTTCACCCATGACTTGTGTGCACAACTGAACAGAATAGGTGCGCAGAAAGCATCTACAAATGTCAGGTTCATAGGTCATACTAAATACTTGGATTTGCTTCAAGAAATATAAACATGTACTCCCCAGAAAGGGCCGAAAATGGGAACCCCATCCAGCCAGTTGAACGGCCCTGCGCACCCCCCGCGCCGCCCCATGAAACAGGTTTGGACAACCAAGTCTTTACAATGGTGTGGGCCCCCTTGAAAAAAGTCAGACAGGCTTTGGACAATATATATATATATATCATCCATACATCTGGCCAGGCGGCCAGTCCCATACAAAGAGGATGGACGGAGTTCCCATCTGTCTGATATGCTCTCCCAGGTCCCATTCCATGTCCTGACTAGAATCTAGAAGTTACACGCAAAGATTTCAAGCAAACATAATTCTTTCAATCAGGTATCTTAGCGGAACAACGGAATCAAGGAGGCCTCCAACGCCCATCCCATGACTGGGAATACCCAAACACTTCATGATGGGACTGGCATAGCTTTTTCCATAAGTGGGGTCAACGGGCCAACGGGTTGGTATAAACATGTGTAAGCTATCATCCATGCATCTCGATAATCTCCAGGCAGCCAGTCCCATACAAAGAGGGTGGCCGGGTGGCCGTGAGGCACTCAGTGACGACTTCACAACTCAACACGGCTCAATCGCCCGATGTATCCCGATGTTCGAGTTGGGCGAGGCAAAGCTGCAAAGGCATGGTTTGGGTTGTGCCTCCTTGAGGCGAAGGGATATATGGGACACCTCAAGAGGTCCCTGGTAGGAGCCTTAAGAATTTCAATTATTAATCCAAACCGTGTGGAACCTCCGATTCCCCTGCATTCCCTCCTTCAGCTCATTTCACGTCCAAGCGAAAAACAGAATGGTGCGTTGGCAGGATGTGTGCTTGCGAGTCACTTTGGACTTCAGCTGTTCATTGGCCTGATTGTGCATTGGCTGAGAAGGTGTGACGATGAAGAACACTGATGTTCAAACACAAACACGTCAGATTCAATGACAATCGAAATTGTGACCACAATGGTTTACCGTTGTAGATCATTACAGTAATTACTTCAAAACAAAAAAATAATTCTGGTATAATTATACTCAATATTCCGCAGACCGCACCATGCTCATTATGGACGAGTTTCTGACATAGAGGCATCCAAGAGAATCTAAGATAAAAAATACAAAGCGCAACAGACTACTGTACAATCTGTACACAAAATGATTCTGGCGTGGACTTAAACTGCCCTCAAACAGGCTTTCCAATGTTCCCAGCTGATGATCAAATTTGCAGCGGCAAAAGTTGTGCTCAAGCAGATGCTCTCATCTCGTCCATCTGGATTTCCGCCAGGTTGTGCAGTTGAGCTCCGCAAGCTCAGGCCACGCTAGAGCGGATGAGGTGGATGGCAATGTTCCCTGTCACATTTATGTCCCGCCACTCCTCCCCCGGGAGTGTGTCCACCATCACCTCTTCTGTCTCTGCAACGCGGAACTCGTAGCCACCTGTCTGTCTGCGCTTGCCTCGAACACACATCTGAACCGCTGCTGCGTGCAATCCCAAGTCCCGGGCCGCAAATCTAATGGAAGCATGGGTCCTCCACTCCTCACTGCTCCCATGAGCTCGGCTTTCAATTGGGACTGACAGTGGATGTGGGCCCTTCATGCTTTTGAAGCAGTGTGCCAGGTTCTCACTATGGGTAACATACTCCAGGTTATCCACGGCATTGTTGCCCCGGTCAAGGTCCTTGTGGTTCACCTCGTGCTCTGGACTTGGAGGTGGCCCCAGGAATGCGCGCGCCACCAAACGGTGAACACGGATGGTGCAGTCATGAAACGGCTGAAAATAGCAGTATCCATCT